TTATTTGATCGTCCCCCCCTACGACCGGCACCACCTGTCCCGCCACTTCCTCCCCAGTACCTCCAGCATAGCCATTCTCTGTATGCTCCCCCATTGCCACCCAAAACTCCTGTCTTGCATCCTACCTTACCCCCACCTCCTCCCAACCAGAAATAGTTTAAACCCTCCTCAAACTCACTTAAAACCTGAGCTCCCACCAATCAAGGAATTTGCTGTTGCGTCACCTCTATCCCAGTCGCAGGCCCAACAGCAAGCCCAGCAGCAAGATGTACTATCCAGCCAAGAGGAGGAGGAATTGGCCAGGGCCCTGGAGGAATCCCTGAAAATGGCTGGCAATCCTCCAAGTTGGCAGTATGGGTTACAAAACAACGCCATCGCAGGTTCATCCAAGAATCCACTGCCACTCCAGCCAGCGGCAACACTCTCCACAAGCGACACAGTTACTGACCACATCAATACCATTGGCACAATGCGGGTACGTCCAACGCACAGTTGGAAGCAGATGAGGCATTTGCCCGTAAATTGGCAGCAGAGATGGAAGAAGAGGATAATGCTCAATAACAGACTTGGCCCCCGCGACGATTAGCCGGTAGATGCTATGAGGGAAACTCACATGAGATTCCTTAGCATCGCCGCAAAACGCCCGGTCATCAAAGGATGAAGACCTTGCCCTCCGCATTGCAGCGGAAGAAGTGCAGGAGCGCGTCCATCAAAATACATACGTTCCACAAACATCCACCTCACCAGTTCAGGGTACCTCTGATCTCCCTGGCTACAGCCCATCTCACACAGCTCAGTCAAATAGTTCGCGTGCCTCTACCACACCCATTACCCCTCTGCAGAGTCCAAGCGGTAACTACCTTGGGCATGGGCCGACCGGGCCAGGTATGAGCCAGAATAACCCTACACATACCTATGGCACTTCTATGGCGAACAATGTCGGTGGCTCTACCCTTCCAGTTTATGCAGTCTCCGTATCACCACCGATGGATCCCTCCCTGGCATTAGCCCCCCCAACGGATCTAAAACGGAACAATTCCTCGCCCTCAGTCGCCAGCGGTTCAGATATTGACTCCTTGATTGACGGGGGGAATGCTTCATCAGAAACTCACTCCCTATACAAACCCAAACCCTTGACGGGCTACGTCCCGAACAGGGTCTCTTGCAACCTTTGAGAAATTCCTCCAGATTTTCTGTACACAGTTCGGCGGATGATCTAGCTCCGAGCCCTATGATAAGTCCTAACGCGAGCGTCGTAAATGTCAATCAACTCGTAGATCCCGAGCTTCTTTTTGGCGTCTGTAAGATATTAGCTGCCTCATCATTTCACGATCACTCAATGAGTTTGTTCCAGCTATCGGCTTCATGGCTCCAAGCATGACAAACGACCTGACTCCTATGCAGGGTGTCATGCCCAATATCATTTCGCTCCCATATGGCCGCTGTCCTCCTCTACACCTGCAAGCACCTAGTTGGCGGCACCTTTTGAAATTGATGGCAAGACTCAGTGCTACCCGACTGGAACCGACGGTGGAGGCCATGGCCGTTTCCAAAACCGAATTGAAATTGCGCACTGTGATTCAATTTGTTAAAGTAAGCTACCCGCCACCCATAACACGCAGTCCACCCATTGAATATCAATCCGCTAGCCGCACCATGGGTCATTAGATTGGCGGGCAGTGTTATGGTTTACCGTTGACCATCCAGTACCCCTGGCATTACCAGGGGCAACTAAATTTACCAACGGAGATGTAAACGTGTTACCATGGTCTTACACCCTATCAGCCCTTCCAACCCTCTTGCGTGATGGTGGGGTCGACACTGCTGTCTCCAAGATTTATTCAATACCTGCCACCGATTCAATGCCTTATCCAGCGCTCCCAATCACATTCCCAAACCTTGCTATGTACCTTCAAGCGGCGTTGGAAGATTCGCGGCGGTTTGCAAACGATAGTTCAAGCGGTATGCGAAAGCTGGCCCGCATGGTGGAAACATGCTACCCCATGGATGTATCCTCAGAGCCCCAGGAACGTGGCTCTGTAGGTGGTTTGTTTAAGCGCGTAATCGGCCGAGGTAACAAAAACGCAAAGAAAAGCAGAGGAGGTGGTAACGCGGATACCTACGAGCTGGTCACCCCGTTCGTGTTGGATGAATGGGGCTAGGTTTTCCCCTCTGCTTTCACCTCCAACTCTGGAAGTCCCTGGACTTTTTTACGATAGGAAACAGTCCAACGATATCATAGACTTAAGTATATATATTTATGTGTTGACGCAAAGCTTGTGCCTTGGCTACAGATCCATACTTGTATCGTGCATGATTTTCTTTACTTACTTTCGGTTGTATCTGAATGTAACTTCGATCTAACGACCTAATATTTGACCGATTGGTCGAGTCGTCTCAAGATTGTTCTTCACTCCGACGCTCAATCGGTATACCTGTAAACACCTACTCTCACGAATCACGACCAACATCGTCGTCGCACCAAATCACTACTTTTTACATGGCTGCAGCAGCTCAGAACGCCCCGAAAAACCAACAGACAAATAACGTTCCCCGTTAACGGGTGAAGAGGAAGGTAAGTTATCTTGAACATTAGTTGATTCACGAGCGACTAATGGGCTGACAGATTTTTGACTAGACCAGATTATTCTAACGCGAATTACCAACGACGAGCGACCTCTGCGACGCGTAATCAAGAAGTTTCACAATTATACCTCAGTCTCTCATACTCCCATCGTACCCTGGGTGTCGCCAGATGGTTCCCCCCCTCCTTCCGTTGAGGAGGCGCGGGAAGCATTCTTACTTGAGCTCTCATCTTTCGAACTGCTGCTGAAGAAGAGTGATATGATATGCAAAGCTGAAGTGCGGCAGGTGGAGGAATACCAGAAGGAGCGGCAGAGGCTTGGTTCGTCTTTTCCCTGTTTTTCATTCTACGGCTTAAGATGTCCATCCAGATGACGAGCATGGTGCGCTGCGTGGTCAGATTGACCAGTTGAAAAACGCTCTGGAACAGGCACAACTTGCCCGGAGGCGGAAGATTGAATACGATCTCGTTGCTGAGAAAGTGAACACAATACCCAGCCGAGAAGAACTCGAACGGTAATTCTCATTTCATCTCTTCCATGCACCGGACCAACGCGGTTTAAATTGCATTGTAGATGTATTCAGGAGCTTGAAAACGATATGGTCGCAATAAGGACAGAACAAGACCATCAAACACGAATGATGCATGGCCAAAAGTCTGCCTTGGATACTATCATTTCTGAGCTAACGTCTCTACATGTGGTTGGTAAGGACTCTCGCGATGCCGCCGCTACATCCGCTTCTGCGACACCAGCACCCGAAGGTAATGAAGTAGAAATGGTGGACCCTCCTACAGATGCAGGTGCGACAACGGCGCCCGCGTCCGAGGTAGCGGACGAGAGAGAGGAAGGGGAGGAAGACAAGGCCCCGTCAGAATCTGACCGGCGGTCGGCTCCAGCGGAAGACGGGGTGGCCGCAGATGACATTGAAATGGGCGAAGTGGAAGAAGACAGCCCTAAAAACCTCAAAGGGAAGAAAAAGCTTCGAGAAGACCTGGAGGAGGGGGAAGCCAGCGACTCGAGCAGCGCGCTCTCAGACCCACCGGATGATGATGATTAAGAGATACATTATTCATAACATGTCTGTTATTCGCTGGATTCTACATCAATGTTCATAAAATCTCGAGCACAAGTTACGTTACTGCCAAACGCTTGAGACGCTAGGGTGGCGATTGCCTCCATAATCTTGAGGGATACTTCGCTCTCATCCCCTGGGTAGCGAGCTGAGAAATGATTTAGCACTAAGAGCCGCGCATTAATCCGTTTCGCAAAGGCCCCTGCCATTTGGGGTGTCGAATGCCCTCTCGATTTCGCGCGAGCTTCGACGGTCTCGAAAGTATCGCTGTCTTTCGTGTTACCGTCAATGCCTGGGAGATGGGCGTTAGTTGCTTCGTGAATAAGCAGCCCCGCATCCATGGCTAAACCACAAATAGGTGATGGATCATAAGTATCCCCAAGAATGACAATTTTTCTTCCTTTTCGACGGGATGGACCGTGAAGGACAGTGCCATCAGAAAGCTCTACACTTTCCCCCTGCTGTAACCTACTCATCACCGACATGTGAGCCTTTGTCCGTTTTATGTCTGGGATATACTTTGCAAAGTCCATTTTGCCAGGAACGGGAGCCTCGGTGACCACAAACCCAAGGCAGGGCACTGAATGATGAATAGGTGCTGCAGAAACCGAAACAGTAGCATCTTTGAATATATTCGACCAAACTCCGTCCACCTGGGGGATGTTGCGCCCAGATGGAGACTCGCCAGGAAGTAGTGGCAATGATGTAAAGTCCCCTTCCTGTGGATCCGTAGGGAAACGAAGCTCGTGCACCACATAGGGCATCCCAACAAGCGTATGTGTATAAGACATTCCAGTCCGAATGTAGGCGCGTGTACCGAGTGGACCATATATTTCGATCGGCTAAAATCAAGGTAAGGCCAAAGCGGTCCGCACATACAACAATACTCACAGGAGTATCCATATTGATGTGGGTCCTCGCATCGTCGGCGCCAGTGATACCCCCTGCCCCGTTCAGACAGCTCGCGAGGAGGGGTATCAGCCCGAAGATGTGATCACCTCCAGCAACCTCAGTTGTTGTATGTTCGACAACCTGGTCGAATACACACCATGAGCGTGAGTGATAAATATCTTTCCGATCCTGCCCATCTTGACAGTACTTTTTTGAAGCTGATGTTGAGTTGCTTCTCCACAATCAAAGAGCCAGACATCCCCACCCAACCTTAGAGCTAGGGATGAATGATTCCTGGTCGATGAGGGCTGAGCAGACGCGGTTCCGAGAAATGTAACATTTAAAGAAGAGAATCCAGCTTTTGTAGCCTGAGACATGTCTAAATTCTGGGATAGGAGTGGGTGAGCGGTTTCTTGAAGTGACCAAACACTCTGGGAGGAAAATATAAAAATTGTCCCAGGGAGGATTCGAACTTCCGGCTTCTCGGAGCTACACCCGCTGAGCGGATCCACAACGAGATGATTTGACCACTAATCGACAAGGACATATCATTGGCCAAAGTTGTGAGTGTTCGTCCCATCCAATCGCTTAAGCGGCCCTAAATTTGTTTATGTAGTTGAATTGAATCCTATCAATTTACACGTCCAAACGACGGGCCGCGCGACGATGCAGATGCTATGCGCGTTCGGGGCTTCATAAACTGTCCTTTTGAACTGTGTGGGACGAACAACACGGTCTGCGCCAAGCGACATCGGTATTGTGGAGCTTGAGGATACCATCTATACCGCCCGGAAATAGTAAACGCTAAGCTATTTGGTTTGTCATCGCAATAACCCCATAATTGTTGGAAGGCGCGCGAGAAAAGATAGGGCCGCACATTAGGTAGTGAGTCTGGGTCGCTTCCTTATGACAGTGGTTAGTGTTTTACTTCCCTCCAGCTCGACGTCACTGAGGAGGCAAGAGACCTTGGTAGCGTTCAATACGAAGTGTGGTTGGTGAGTGTTTTACAACATTGTATTTTTGTTGACGCGGACGCTGATCGACTGGAAGCTGCTTTACAAATTTAACAACGTCAGTGATAAATCTATTTATCCCAAAGCAGTCCATAGTATATTTTGAGTTCCTTCTGACGTGTACATAGCACCGAATATTCTGAACGACGTCTAAAGCCTTAGCCGAGTTACAGGGCTGAGGGTTGAGCTACTGAACCTAACAGTCGAAAGTTCCAAGTGCCTTCAAATAATGAACTTCAATATCGGCGATCGCTGTGGTTAGCGCGTCACATGACCGCGAATGGTTGGAACTTGGCTTGGGCTCTGTTATTATTAACTTAAGAGTCTTGGACCACTACCCCGCCTCAGCGCCCCAGCTTCTCTGCGATACTAACATTCAGACTCGTTTCTCCTGCCGAAAGGCCTATTCTTACCTTCACTCTCGTTTAAACCCCCTCTATGGCTCTAAATACATCACCGCGGAAGGTTGTCCCACTTGCTGGTGGTGATGATTCACGAATCCGGGTCAATACTACACTCTCCCGAGTTACTAAACGCGTTTTTTTCTGCGGCATTGTTGTAGAGGGATCTGAGAATGGCAGAAGATTGCCTGAAGGTAATTGCTTCTGTGGTTCACTAGTGTTGGTTGATGTTCAAGTTCTTGGGGCCAGATATACAGGAACTTGTCCTTTCATTTGGGAAGACTGTGGCCTCCGAGTCATCGGTTGACATATTATCTTCTACGCCCGACCCATCTAGTACAGATTCTGTGAGTATTTTCGTATTCTCCAGATAGCTAGAACTGTCTTCGTTTGCGAGCGCCAGCAGCGACCAGTCCGATTCTTCCGCTGGCGCCTTGTCATATTTCACCCACGTTATACCTTCACCTCCCTGCAAAGCTTCATCTAGTTTCGCTTCTCCCAATACTCGCTTCCTCCGCTAGTTCCCCCTCGATCCCCCTCAATGTCTGCAACGCCACTTACATAATCTCCACAGGGTACCAATGGCCAACGGAAAAGGGCGCTCACCGACGCATCGGCGCTTTCCTCTGTGATTAATGAGTTAGTGACGAGCGAGCGATCCTATGTCAAGCGCCTTCAGATCCTCAAGCATGACTATGCCGATCCCCTGAGGAATTTTTCGCGAAGCAAAGATACCTCCATCTTGCCCCCGTACGAAGCCAAGACCCTCTTCGGGAATGTGGATAACCTATTACCTGTCAATGAAGCCTTTTTGACAGATCTGGAGAAGATGTTGGCACCAAATGGTGCAAAAACAGTTGGGAGCGTAGGCGATGTTTGCCTGCGGCATTTCAAAGATCTACGTGGATTTGAACAATACAAGCAATACTATGTCAAACGAGAAGAAGCCCAATCAATCTTTGAGCATGAGGTATCGAAACGTTCCTCGCGTTTCGCGGCTTATATAGACGTAAGTTATTAGTCCTCCAAGCGTGTTTCCTCCTACCTGATATTTATCCTGCTTACAATCAGCATATTAAATACCAATCTACTGACCCAAAAAATCGGATAGGTTTGCGCGAGCTGCTCATGGAGCCTGTGCAGCGGATACCCCGATATACGCTTCTGATACGAACAATGCTTAAGCATGTAGCTCCTGGTGATCCTCAGCGGGCGAAACTAGTCGAGGCGGATGAAATTGCCAGCAAAATCGCTCTCGCTGAAGCTGACGAGCAAACTAAACGTGCTGCAGTATTCTCATGTCTTATCGCCAGTATCGAAGCCTTCCCTCCTGATCTCTTCTCCAACTCGCGAAAATTTATTGATTGTATTGATGTCGAGGACGTTTTCACGGATACACCTCTGCCTTCCTCCGCTTCTACTTCCACATCGAACGCAGGTTCATTGCACTGTACGCTTTTCCTCTTTGATGACAAGCTCATGATTGTCAAACGTCCCGGGAATGGAGAAAAGGGTGGCAGGAATTTATCTGGGTTGGACGAACTTGATCGGATGACAAAAGCTGGGGGCATCCCCAACGGCAAAAAGAAAAAAAGTGGGATGACGTGCAAAGGCGTGGTTGATGTCACGGACGTCGTTGCCACGGATGTCGGTGGTGCTGGTGGGTGGTTATTCAACTCAAATGCTCGGTTTTTTGTTCATTATTGGGCGCATCTACTAGATATCAATTTATACCTCGAGAACCCTCCTATGGATCAAACTGACCGATGGTCCGGCCGCCCGTTCCGAGCATTGTCTGTGGTGAATCCCCCCATGCCTATCAATCTGGACCCAACTCAGACTGAAGCCGACAAACGTCGCTTTCTCGAAAATCTCTGGCATGTTCAAGCCACTTACAGGGCCCGGGCCGGCCAGTCCGTTGTTCTCTCCGCAGATGAACAGGAAGTTGAATCCAAAAATGGGAAAACCACCTATGCAAGGACGTATTATAATGTATACCAGCGAACTGCCTTCCTTCAGGAACCCAAGAAGGTCCGTTTTCGCAGAGCCCTCTCCTTCTCATAAGTAAATTCGGCTTGTTCAGACAAAAATTGTTGTGCATATTGACCCGCTGGGATCAGCAGATCCGATACCGTTCGGGATGGGTGCGTCACCATTCGCGAGGATTAGGTTACAACCTATGGCGGGTGGGCTATGTCGTTACTCTGTCACCTCGAGCGATCCAGCAGACGAAGGCGAAGAGGACATTGTTCAGAGTGGGCGCGTTCCATCACGAGTTGTTCAAACAAGTGCATTTTTCTCCCTTCCCCCGCCCCACAGACGCTGACCCCTGGAATCCAGTCCACCAATTTGGCTTATTTGAATTCCGGACTGGAAAAGATTCTCGACCTTCAACACCTACCGCGCGTTCTCGCGCTGCGATATTTGGTCTAGATGCCATCTCGCGCAACCTTTTCAATACTCGACCAGGATCTTCGATGGGGGATTTCTTTGGCGGGTCAATCAGTGGTCACCGCCGAACGAAATCGACCACCAGTCGATCATCCATGTATACTAATACGACAGGTGACGACAGCTTAATGAAATTCTCCCACCGCTCTGGCTCCACTGTGACGGCAGCCACGACCATCTCGAACATGGATGATGAATCGCTTTTCGCTTCCCAATCCTCTAGATCGCGAAAATCTTCCAAGCGACCAAAGTCACCAGGCACGACCTCTGACATAGATAGAACGTCCCCCATTCGAACTTTGGCACGATCTCTATCATTTACCCGTTCAAGGTCCACCTCCAGAGAACGGAACAGTGATCCTGAGGATGATGACGTTACGGTATTGGAAAAAGCCCAAAATTCGGACAGCTCTGAATGGGATCTAACGGCTCAACTTGAACTAGCGAGGCAGAATAGTATGAACCAATACATCAAGCCACTTCCCACTCCTGTGGACGTTGACGGAACCATCTATGAAGGTTTGTCACTCGCTATGGGATTTTATGTCAGATAGCTCATGGCTTCATAGAAGCGCTACCCCATCCTGTACGCCCGGAGTCTCGGGCCTCTCGAGAAACATACAGATCAATCACCCCACAGCCCCGTCCCGACAGCCCCCTATCCCGCCATTCAATGGAGCGGCGTCCAATGGGACCCCGATGCCCATCCCCAATTCCACCACCCAAGAGCCCCCAATTACGGCCAACCACATCCCTTTTACCTTACCTAGACGATACCCCCGATGAGGAGCTAATAACACCACCTCGGCCCTCTGCTATGCCTCCCCGCCAGGGCATACCTACCGCAATCCCACGTAGCAAACGACAACCGTTATTCCCCACCAACAACACAGACCATACTCCCAAACCTACTAGCAGCGTGCCGCAGACACCCGGGGCCGTCGAGCCACTCTCCATCAAGAAGAAAACATCCGTGCGGACAACTGTTGGTTCACCAACACCAGCCCGCAAGTCATATGTTCGAAATTCCCCACTCTCACGTACCTCCGCTCGCATCGTATCACCACGACGCGTTTCCCCACAGATACGAAATGGAAGGGGAGCAACCTCTGCGCATCTATCCAAGGATGATCGCATTGAGCGAATGATACAACAGGTCCAGTCAGCCAAGGAAGATGTAGGTTTCTTGTGTAGTAAGACCGCTCAATTTTAATCTCGCCTCCAGATTGAATCGTCGCGCCGCACCATCAAGCGGATAAAGCTTGAGGTCGACGACCACCGTTCTACCGCACCCCAGGGTGATGAAGATGATAGGAGCTCTATAATTTCCCGGCCCTCTTCACCTGATAAAGGGGTACGGACCCCCCAACGAACCGCTGCGATGGTATGTTTTGATCGCTCTTATAACAAGGGGGATTCTTTAACCAAAAACTTGTAGAATAAGGCAGCTTTGGACCGGATGGAAGAGATGAGACAACTCATTGCGCGGAGACAAGGAGAAATAACACCACGAAGTCGACCCCGTAGTACTCCCTTTACACCACTCAGAGGGGCCATGAACGGGGAAACTGATGCCGCTCGATCAGTTGATATGCTAGTGTCCGAAGCTGATCAAGACCTCTCCCAAGCATCATCAAGCCAAGACATGCTCCAAAAAGATCTGAGATTACTGGCAGACGA